ATACAGCTCAACACGCTTGGAGGAAATGCTAATTGCCAATTCTGGACCGTCAGAAATAAAGGTACCGTGCAGGTCCGTTTTTTGTTTATTAAGGTACATACAATGTAAATGTACCCTCAAAGGTACAACAGCGGTTTTAAGGTTCAATTGTGTACCCTAAGTAAGGTTTTCCCAGAGGAAAGGTGTGTCTTTGTACCTTTTCATAATCTAATGTTTTAAAACAGAACAATAAAATAAAAAGCCTGGAGACGAGACGGGGTGTGCGGAGTCAGTACATCTTAAAAAACATAATTGCAATGGAATATGGTATAATGACGTTCCCTATCTTAATGTACTGAAGATGTACCCCTGAGGGTACCACCCCAGTGAGAGTTTAGTACCTTTTTTGTGTTAAGTCAGCTAACAGATGCCCACATACTGACGGAAGGGGAGAAGGAGGGACATCGCCCTCTCAGAGAGAGCAAGAACAGTCATCATCACCAGGAAACTCCTGATCAGGCAGATGGCGGGAGGCCGACGACAGCCGTTAGAGGTGGAGGGAGGACGACGACAGCAGCAAGAGGAGGAGGGAGGAGGACAACCACTGCGACAGATGGCGGGAGGCCGACGACAGCCGCGAGAGGCAGAGAGAGGAGGACGTCCGCTGCCAGAGGTGGAGGAAGGAGGACAACAGTAGCAAGAGGCAGAGGGAGGAGGACAACTGCTGTGAGAGGTGGAGGGAGGAGCATGACAGCAGCGAGAGGTGGAGGGAGGCTGATGATAGCCACAAGAGAGGGCGTGGGGACAGCATTCAATCCCCACCTCCTGAGCCCTGCCTCCTGTTCCACAGTGATGCCACTGTACTTCGCCTGCCGTTTGATTGTGGTGGCCGATGGGTGTTGCTGATGGGGAGGCAAGGCAGCGAACTCTCTCTTTCCCTCTCGGCTCAGAGTGCTTGTGCTGGCCTTAATGAGACTGATGGGCTGGTGTGTGCAAAAGGAGTGAAGAATCTACGTAGAAGTCACGAATCAAGTTTTGGTTCTTGGTTTTGGTGTTTTGTTTTGTGATCTGAGTAAAATGAAAGGGTGAATGACCGCTGCCACCATCACGCCTGCCTCCAGCATCCTTCTTCCTCCTGGGTAGCACACAGTGTGTCAGCCACAAAGCCCTGTTTTTTCTGAAGAGGGCTTTTCTGAAGACTTCCTACAACTTAACCTTAAGTCTTTAATCACCTAAGCGGATAACTTTGTGTATATAGATGAAATCAACCCAATCCTGACCTTCCACTCCCTTCATCAGGCATCAGCCTACGGTAGCCTCCCACGACCCCGGCCTTTCACCTCTAGGCCGAGATTAGAGCGAGGGGTCAGACGGGGTCAGGGTGCGAAGTCAGGGCGCAAATCTTGCTGATCTGCTGTCAGATAAACATCTCAAGCAACGAGATGACACCCCAGACATTTGGAAACAGCACGGCAGACACGCCCCCCTAACCCGTCCTTTAACGTAATGCCATTAGGATTATGTCAGTTTGACGTTGTAGGTCCGTCCTGCCAAAGTACGATTTTGTATTCAATGGAAAAGCAGTTTGCAGAAACGCTGCCAACGTCCAAATCACGAGCAATTTAGCGACTGAAAACAGTAGCTTGGAGTTGATCCAAAGCTCACTCAGAAAAGATGATTGAAATGACTGCTAAACAGTTTCCTTTGGTTTGTTTCCACATTTTCTATATGCCACCTGCCTCCTGAACGAAATCTAATCCAAGCATATGTCAGTTAAATCAAGTATGCACACACTGGCCTGTTGCCAATTACTGCCTGTTGGGATGAGTCGGCAGTGAGATGTTTGTCTTCACACTTATGATAACAGCCTGCTAATGGGACGGGAAATGGCAAACCCATAGACAGGATATTAGCAGATCTAATGCCACATTGAAACTAATAATAAACAACAGGCGAAAGGCTGATTTGTCCATTATATCATGTTATTATATGATACAACTCCTGTTATTAAGTGATTCCTATCTATTATTGCATATACACATGGAAAGTGTTTATGGTCAGTTGATGTACTTCATGTCTGTAGCAGACTATTGCAGTTTCCTCCTCATAGGGATCAGCTCAAGTCCATGCATGTGCTCCAAAAATCACTTCACCTGATAACCTTCTGCTTGTCTGCTCTTCTTTTTCCCCTCCTGACCCTTTCACACTGTCCAAACATCTTCTACTGGGATGCTTTCTGTCCCTCTGTAGTCTCTATAATTCAGCTTTATCTATAGTAGCACACAGCACAGAACCATAGAGTCCCCTTTCCCTAGCAGTGAAGCTGTGGTCACACCCAGATGATGCTTTGCCTTCATCACAGCTTCCATTCTTTTCAGGAAACTTATTTTCAGTATTTCTAGGAAATCTGCAGGGATATTATTCCACACCTCCAAAGTTCATTGAAGAAGCTGGTTGTATTCTCTGCTTCTCATGATCCAATAATCCTAAACATATTCAATAGCATTGAGGTCTGGACTCTGACGTGGTCAGTCCTTTGTTCTGAGAACACCAACAGCTATTTTGATAAGTCTGTTTCCTTTTCTCAGTGAGGTCTTCTTGACCAGCTACAAATCCTTTCAGACCCATAGCATTCAGTCGTCTTCTCACAGTGGAAGAGTGGACAGACGGGTGGTCTTTGACCTTTGTACAGTACCACATGCTAAAATTTCATCATAATTATGCTTGAATCGTTGTGCTAAATAGCCAGTTGAATCCTACCCTGCATTCACTACGGCAGCGACTTTTCGCCTCGTCACACAAATCGTTGGACGCTCATCATCTCTGAGTTTTTCTGAACATGAGCTGACCATTAATTTCTATGGGCACCGACAGCAAACACATGTCAAGTCAGTACAGCGTACTTTTCTGACTAGTGGCTACGGAGTGTATACAAAATCAATCTCAACACAAATCAAACATCTTCTTGCCAGGTTCTTACCATTCCTGCTAAAAATAAAAGTCCTGGACAGAAATTGCTTGGCTATAAATTTAATTCCTGTAATTCCCTCAGAAGAAAACTTTGAGATTATCTACTTGCAGAGAAATCACTGCAGTCATTCCTCCATCTCTAGTACGAGCGAATATCTAGGAACCAAAAAAGAGTCATGCTGTTTCAAAGCCACCACATCGCTTTGCTCCTAATTTGCATAAAGTTAAACTTTGCTCAACTTTGTTGCATCACTAACACCCACTCCGCCCACTTTGCCCGCTCCGCCCACATTCATGCTGCCTCCTGTCATTGGAAATCGCCCGCTCTCCCTGAAGGTGAATGAACGCAGGGTTACTTTCAGTGTAGTGCTCTGTTTGACTCATGTGATTTAAACAGGCAACTGATTTGCCAGTTTGTCTCAAAGAGCAAATATCATATCAAAAATAGATGAATAAAATCAAACATTGGCCAGTTTGAAAGGTTCCATAAGAATTTCTTTCATTCTCTTTTATGGCCTTTTCTAAACAGCTGCATTTTTCTGAGACAAAACGAGGGGACCCACGCGGTCAGAGTACAGCGTTCGCCGTAGCTGGACACACAACGTATTGATTTGTCTTCAGTCTAAATGACACCCAACAATATGCTTTGGAATGTAACTTACAGGCCCAAGTGCAACACCGCAGGACATCCAGCCTGGCCAACTATTCATCTAGCAGCGCCCGATCTTGCTTAATAGGTCAGCACTGCTGACTCGTCTTCGCAATGCCGTTTGTTTTAGAAAGCATGCAGTGAAAAGTGATCCGAATGAGGAGGAACCCACAACTCTCGCAGCCCGACGCCTGCAGGCACCACGTCTACAATACCAACCCCATTCATACGACGTGTTATGATGACCTACTACAGCCTGGCCCAAAATAGAGGGAGGGGCTGATGAAAAAGGCAAGTGTGGGGGACCCACTAGGGGGACACAGACGAGACTGACCCCCTGACCTAAGACCATTAGGGTGCTTGGGAAGCGTCCAGTCAGCACAATGATGCGCACTGTCAGTGAGTTCGGTCAACATTCTTCGATACTGTACTCAGACGTAAAGTGCAGCCAGCTCTGAAAGTCGGAGTTCAGCAGACAGTTCATCTGGCAAAAAACAATGTGTGCCTTTTACTCACCAAGCTTATGTGATTTATGACTGGCTAGAACCATTTTTTCCCTCTCTGGCCACTTTATTAGGAACCCCTCCCCTGCTGGCGCAGTTAGAGAGTTATATACAAAGCAATGATGAATTGGGCCGAAAAATTGCAGTAACAGATGGACTGTAATTGTACGCTGATATAGTGGTAGGCGGAGCTCACAAAGTGCCCGCTGAGTGGAACTACAAGCTAATAAAGTATAAGGATGTTTCAGTCCCTTCAAGCTTTTTTGTAATGATATCCTTTGCCGGAAAACAATCAGTACCAATGACATTTACTATGACAACGTTAACACTCATCTCACTGTATTACATTCTCCGCCAAATCCGTTTAAAATTGAGTCGGGCAAACAAGCTTTCAATACAAGCTTTCAAAAGAAAATGGACCAAACTCACAACAGTAGCGTGTGGCTATATCTGAGGCTCATATCAAGCAATACTGACTAAATTTAAACAGCTCACCTAGCTGGAAAATACACAGAATTCCCATGAATGTCTGAAGGGTATGTTAGCTTGTGGGAGAAATAGGAATTATTATCCCAATTGAAAGGACACAATATTCTTACTAAGAGGGCACAATATTCTAATTAAAGGGGACACGGTATTCTAACTGAGGGGGTATAATAGTCCAGCTGTGGCGACACAATATACCTACTAAAAGGGCACAGTGTTCTAAATAAGGGGCACCATATCCTCATTTAGGGGGTACAATATTCAGAACTGAGTGGGTGCAATATTCCAGCTAAAAGTGGGGCACAATATTATGACTGAAAGGGAACAATATTCGGGTCACAGTACTCCCACTGTGAAAGGAGGACACAATATTGGGATCCAAGCAGAGCTGCCTTGGCTGTAAGGGGACCTACCTGTCCCTGGCCCACCCAGGCAGATGGTGTCTCGCATGGGGCTGCAGTGCTCCAGCTCGGCCTGGTCCTCGCACACGGTGCAGGGCAGGCAGGGCTCCAGGGTACTGTCCTGGTCCGAGAAGGTGTCATCCTGGCATATTTCGCACACAGTGTCCCGGTCAGGCTCGCAGCGCATTAGTACTCCCTGACCCGGGGGGCACACAGTGCACGCCTCGCACCGGCCCGTCATCGTCGACAGGAAGTAGCCATAGTCGCACACACAGATGGCGTCGTTGGAGTCCGTGCAGGGCGTCTCCATTCGCAGCAGACCCACACACTGTGTGCACGGCTGGCACTGCTCCGTGTGGCTGAAGTTCTCAGAGAACGATTCGCCTGAAAGGGAAGAGAGAGAGAGGGAGAGGGAGAGAGAGAGAGAGAGAGAGAAAAGTGGGTTTCTATCTTCAAACATCGCACCAAATTCGACCAAATTTCAGAAAAATTACAATTTTAAATTGACAACCAATGTTCTTGTTAAATTAAAATAAATGATGATCACTACTTTGCCAACACATTTACCTTAATCACATATAATCACATTACATAACATCAGTGGTGATAACTTCATATAACAACACAAACTGAACGATATTGTTCTCTCAATATTGCACATCCTAAAGTCAGCATGAATGGGAACTTTATGCTTCATCTTCATCTTCATCTTCATCTTCCCATCCAAACTGCGTCATTTTTCTCATTATACAACAGTTGGTTCCAACGGCAAAACCTGATTGGTTGAAAAAGCATGCTGATATTTGTCATAACATATAAATGTAGTTATGTTATAACTGAGGTTTGGGGGGAGGAGCATGGCTGAAACCCCTCCTCCTTCCAATCTAACGCCCTATAAATTCACATCCTCACCTTCCGTTCCCGTGACGAAGGGTTCACAATCCCCACCGCCACCCCCACCATCTCCTCCCTGTTCCTCAGTCCTGCATCAGTCCTACTTCAGCTATGAGGGGGTCTGGCCTTCTAGCTACAGGCAGAAGTTGCCCAGAACTCCAGCCCAAGTTCTCAGAGCTCTCCCCCCTCCCTCAATCAGTCTTCCCTCATACCACCACCATGATCTGAACTCACAAACTGAAGTATTAAGAAGGCGGAGCTGAACCTCATATTGTGACAGTTGTATGGCTCCATCTGTAACAGTGTGATGAAGTTGGTTTTGTATTGACATATAATGGATACTTGACTTTCTCTCCTCAATTTCTTATGAAATAAATGTTGAAAAATGATCAAACCTTCTCACTCTTTAGAAGACACAGAACAAACCACAAGCAAACATACTGGACAAACGTCCATCATTAAACTGAGTTGATTATTTTGGTGAAGAAATCTGCAGGTAGACACCTCCAAAGTTCTGTCTTAGAAGTTGGTTTTGCATTTTTTGCTTCTCATGATCCAAATTATTCCAAACACATTCAGTGGTGTTGAGGTCTGGACTCTGGGGTGGTCAGTCCATTGTTCAGCTTCTTTATTTGATGTGTCCGTCTCCTTTCCTCAGTGAGGTTCTTCTCAACAGCTACACATCCTTTCAGACCCATAGCGCTGAGTGGTCTTCTCACAGTGGAAGGATGGACAGAAACACCTGTGAATGTTTTCAGATCTGACGCAGCTTGATTTTCTTCTCTCTCTCAGAGATGTGCTGTTTATCTAAAGGGGACAATGTTGGTGTCTACCAGGGCTTCCAGGTGGTTGTTAGGAGCCCCATTTTCTCTGCAGCTTTTAATCAGTTTTTAAACTCCAGTTTTGGAAACTCGTTTTTTTCCACTTGTTTTCCTTTGACTTTCTTCTTCCTGAAGCAAGTTGATTATCTTCTATCTAATCTTCTGCAAAACATCTCCTGAAAAATTAATGGCTGTTTTGACTGTCATTTTTATTCTGCGCTCCAAAGCAGAATCACTCTGTCACTTTCACCTTCTCTGGAAAACCACAACAGCCTGTTCTGTGTAAGTCCAGACCGCAGTTCTGTCAACAGACTGTTCCTCATCCATTAACCACAAAACTTCGATTTCAATCTAATTTCACTTCTTCTTCTTTTTTTAGACATGCAGCATCAGACTTAGCAGCATTCAACATTCAGCACTGGAGAGGCACTTCTTAAAATCCAGTTTTTACCTCCCCCTATATGTTAGCTAAAGGTTGTGAGAGAAGCCGTTACTCTTGCTGTCCACCTAACAGGCTGAATGACAGAAACAGAACCATAACGTGAACTGATAAGAATCCAGCTGATATAGAACCGCACCCCAAACCATGCATCAGCGTGCTAAACTCATCTTCATGTTTACTCAGTTCATGTGACATGTTGAATCCGCAGCAGTCATAGCTTTTCTTACAGCTTCATCGATGGAAATGAAATCAACCCTGAGTTTATCTGAACGCTGTTTGTCTCTGAGCCGGCGAGGGACACAGAAAGAATTCATTCAGTCTCCTAACTGAGCGAGACTGTCAGCAGATTATAGCATGTGATGATTTTAATGGTCGATTAATAAGATAAATATTTGAAAAAGAAGTGCAGTGGACGTTGTTTTACTGCAGAGGACAAAAATAAGCTCTGCAGGAAATACGTTTCAGAAATGAGATCAGAGTGACTCACAATAACTCATCAATATTTCATCTTTTTTGGAAATCAGGAGGATTTTCTTGGGTGCGTGCAGGGAAGTAGACTGTAAAAACCTCAAAAGGGCTGGGAAAGTAAGTGAACTGCAACTGAATAAAGTGCAAGATAAATAATGTTTTACCTTATAATTCATTGTTTTCTGTAAATATATACTGATTCTGAAACTGATGCCTGCAACACGTTGGAACTGCAATTTAAGACTAGGAAAGTTCAAAAATGTTCAGAAACAAGTGATGCACTTATAAGTGGGTGTAAAAGGAGCAGCCAGGAATGTCCTTTGTGAGCAAGGATGGCTCGAGGCTCACTGCTGTGCTAAAAAATGCATCAGCAAAAACAATTTAAGAACAACATTCCTCAGTAAGCGATGGCAAGGATTCTGCGTATTTCACCCTCTCCAGTGCATAACATCATCGAAAAGGGCAAGGCCGAAAACCACAACCTGATTGCCTGTGACCTTTGACCCCTCAGACAGCACTGCTTTAATAACCAGCATGCTTCTGTCAAGTATATCACAAACCACTGTTTGTCACTGCATCCACAAATGCAAGTTAAGACTATGCACAGTGGTAGCCATATATAACAACATTCAGAAACACCGCCGACTTCTCTGGGTTTGAACTCATCTGAAATGAATGATGCTCAGTGGAAGCATGTACTGTGGTCTGGCAAGTCAACCTTTCAGATTGTTTATGGAAATAATGGTTGTGTTCTCTGGGACTAAGAAGAAAAGGACCATCCAGATTGTTAGGAGTGTTAAGTTCTGAGGCCAGGGTCTGTCATGGTATGGGGGGGTAATAGTGGATAACTCGCTTAGGCACCTTTAATGCTGAATGATATTTATACATTTTAAACCATATATGTTGCCTTCTAGACACTGTCTTTTTCAGGAATGTCCAGGCTTATTTCTTCATGACGATGGCAAACCACATTCCGCACGTATTACAACAGCACGGCTGCGTAATCAGAGAGTGCAGGTGCTAGCTTGCCTGTAGTCCAGAACTGTCTCCAATTGAAAACGCGTGGTGCATTACAAAGTTGCCAACTGGCATCTGTAACAGATTAATGGCAAAAAAATTCAGCTTTCAAAACTGAATCAGTGTCACAGGCTTAAGAAGGGTACAGCTATATCATACTTGGTTCCCCACCAGCTGGCCACATCAGCTCATCATTATCCTCATCATCATCATCATCCCTGATTAGGGCTTCTCTCCTTCCCTGGTGTGTCGTGAACTCCAGCTGCTAATGGACTTATTGATGAGGGGGTAAAGTGGCCTGTGCTGGGGCTCACTGGATGGCTGGGTGGGGGTTGTTTAGGGGGCTGGAGTGCCGGAGCATTTCCTGCAGATGCAGATGGCTGAAAACCATCCTCCCTTCACCCCCTCACTCTTTCACTCTCTCTCCTCCCCTCTTCCGCCCTCGCTGGGCCATTATCATAATGCAAATCATCAATAATGCATGTGGACACATTATTTCAGTGAGACAGCGCAGAGTGTGTGTTCGTTGTTTATGTGTGCGTGTGAGTACATTAGAGAGGGGCAGAGGTAACATTCTGCCAACAGCTTCTGTTTGTCAAGTGTCCATAATAGGGAAGCCAATCTGGTAGCGCAGGCTGGCTAACGCGCTTCCTAAGAGGTCCCAGACTATCAAGCCTGAGTCATTCCGGCTCAGATCTTTCAAGAAGGTCCTTCTGTTTTGTCTGTTTAGACCACCTAATCCACGACAACAAGATGAACACTGAGATCAGACTCTAAAACATGACTCAGACCAGAGACATTGTATTTGCTTTTTTGAAAAAATCCAGCAATCCCACAAATGTTTTAGGTTCCTTTAAAACCATACTGTGGTCAGAGGTTTGTTCTTTTAGCCATCCAGCCAAACTAGGGATGTGAATGTGCACATCGACCAGTTGTAACATTAAAACCACCTTGTTTTACACTCATTGTCCACTTTATCAGCTCCACTGACCACACAGGAGCACTTTGTAGTTCTACAATTACAGACTGTAGTCCATCTGTTTCTCTGCATACTTTGTCACCCTGTTCTTCAATGGTCAGGACCCTCACAGAGCAGGTATTATTTGGGTGGTGGATCATTCTCTGACACAGCGGTGATGCTGGAGTAAAACATTTGTTTTTCCGAAATTTGACAACCGTGTTCCCCCAGGATCCACCCGAACATTCTGCTGAAAGCACAGGCAGGGAAAGCATGACAGGTGGGAGACGGGACGAGGGCAGGGGAGGGACTCGTGCGTCTAACATGTCGTTTGAGTATTTTGGCCCCAGGCTAGGGAGTCAGAAAGGGCACATACCTGTTTTAAAAGCTTACCAGTTTCTGCTAAGCACCATGGAATCACGTTTTGCTGTAAACAAGGAGCTTCCTGAGACTACCTGAACAGAGGCAACAGCAACAGAAACTGGTAACCGGTCATTACATGCTGCAACGTGAACAGTTGCCACAATTTGTTTGCAAATTATCCCAGTTCAACTTTCCATTTTTTTCATCCATCCATTAATCACCAGCTGTCCTTGTGAGACACATCTGTCTCTGGTCTTTTCTTTGTACAAACGCTCCTTTTACCTTTCGGCAGTGGGAGGCTGTTCAGTGTTTAATGGTTTAAAGCTGAATTACGGGGTTGGGAGGGATGACACAGGGGCAGTCCTTGAGGTGCGGGATTACAGTTGGAAGAATGTGCAGGGTTGAGGTTGATTGATAGGGAGGGGCAGGTCCTGTGCCAATCACCCCCAACCCATCGGTGTCAAACAACCTACGCTGCAGTTCTGTTAGCTTCAGACTCTGTATTTGTCCACGTTCCGATTTAGGGTGTGTTTACAGTCGTAATTGGGCTCCCATTGGTCCAGACCAAAGCAGAAGATGATACACTGTTGAATTTTAGTTCAGGTTCGCTTAGCATTCACACTGACGTATTTACTGCAAGCCAAACTGTCAGAACCATGCTGACCTTACTGACCTTGTGCATTTAAAGTATGTCCTGTTTTATGTTTTGGGAACCACTAGCCAGGTGGTCTTCTACAAGAGGTACTGGTAGAAACAATTTAAATATGTATATATTTTAATAAGTTTAAATTTTAACAACAGTTCTGTAGTAGTGAGCACTCACAGTAACTTAAAAGTAACTTAAAAGTCACAGTAATTTTTCTACCCAAAATGTGAAAAAAACATGTTCCATATATTTTTTTTCCAAGTATAAATTTGAACATTTAAAGAAATATATTCATTAAGTGCATGTTAGTCAATGCTTATTTCCAAGTCTTCTGTCACCACAAAACACAACCACTACAAATAATACTACTAATAATTATTATCATTACTGTTACAATTATAATTAATAGTAGCAGCAATATCAGTAATAATAGTAGTCATTTGAGTATAAATATGTAGTGTTTAATAAACATTTCTGTGTTAACCCTCTACTGCATAGTGTTGCCCTATGGCAACAATTAACTGATGTCAGTTTTACTAAAAAGCAGTAATATAAAATCTGTGTTTTCCTATTTAATTGTGGAAAAAGGGTCTTTTACTTTGAAAGGACAAATACATTATGACATCACATGACCAGGATTTCTTATTATGATGTTGTTATTACCATGCATTCCAAATACCAATTGAAATTGTATTAATTTTAGAATATTCGTAAATATTGGGTCGTACATTTTGCAAAGTATAAGTTGGATTTGTTTGGTCTTGTTTTCAATAAACAGATCTTTTTAGAGAAAAATTAGATTTTATGGTGCTTTTTTTTCAGATTTTATAGTGCTATGGTACGACAATTTGGCAACAATTTATTAAATACTCCACTTTAAAAAAAGATACATATTTTTTTCAAATATTTCTATTATTTAACCAATTTTAAATAACAAAAACACATAAAAAATTATCATGTTTAAGTAGTAATTCATGTAATACAGGTTAACTTAAGTCAAGAAATATTAAATTTAATGCAAGAATTATACGGGACACTTATTTTGATAGCATTGTTGTTCCAGCTGTCATAGTGTTGGTAAAACAAGCAGTTAAACATGCACTCTCATTTCTTAATACAGACACGCTGTATCTACCACAGTGTCATGATTGAATCCACAAAGGCAGATTTAACTAACTATCAGTCTAAAATAGGACAGTAATTAAGTTAGTTATGCCTAAATTACAGTCATGCCTGCTCAGTGTGCTGCGTTCTTGCTGCGCCAGGGTTTCAGGTTTTCATTTGAATGGTTCCTCTTGAAGCCACAGCATCAGAATCAGTCTTACTGAATTCATACAGCTCATGTTGGGTTACCAGCCACAGCGTCTGGTGGGTGAAATCACTCCACTCATCAGATGTAAGACCTAATTTTAAATATGTATCAGGCCTTATGAAGCTTGAGAATTTTATAAAGGCTCTGAAAGTGTCTCATTCTTGTTTTCAGGGCTCAAAATATCCATATAATTACCAATTCACAGCTCATGAATAGATGATAAAATCCATGCATAAGTATTGTCAGAAATTTCTCCATTGCAGGTAGAAAAGAAGGTTTACAGAAAGGAGATAATGGCTCCTTCGTTCATTCTTAGAAAATATACATGCTAACAGTTCAAAGAAACATTTTATATTTGAACAATACTGCAAAATGTATTAATTTTACTCAGATTAAGCGAGTTACAGTAAGTGTATTATGGTTGGCTACAACAAAGCGACTGCCTTAACTTGAACACGTTGCCAAGGACACATCGTAAAGGATCTGACTAGTCAGAGATAGCGCCGCTTCTTCGCTAACTATGCTAACTACTATAGCTAACGTTAGCTAGGTCCAGAAACAGTGAAAACATATTTCTCTGACAAACTAACACGTTGGCGCATCGTCCACTGAGGAGAAAAGACCTCCTGTAGCAGACGACGAGTCCTCATTAGCATCCAACGCTGTATTGGTAGCTAGTGTTAGCTTAATAGCGCAGCTAAAGAAGCAGCCTCCAATACCTGACATGAAAACCTCACTTAATTTTTTTATTTTGCTTGGATATGGCTGAAAAATACATTATGTTTTCAAATTCCATATAGGCTGTTAACTCTTTAAGATACTTGCATATAAAAAAACATATTCAGAATGTACATCTTTAGCTCGAATGGCAGTTTTCTGAGTTTGCAGAGCAACAGGTTTCTTTTAAATTAAACCAAATCAAAACCTGCTAAATGTGAACACAACTTTAGTCAACCAACATGTCTAATTATTGGATTGCTGATACATTTTTAAGCTACTATTTGTTAAAAAAAGTAAATAAAGCTAAAAATAAAGCTCAAATACTTTAGATGCTAAAGCTAGACGCTAATGCTAAGTCATAAATTGCTCATGAATTGTTCATGAGAACACAAACTGTTCATGAGAAATAAAGGCTACTTTGGACAATGAGAACCAAGCGGTGGCTCTCATGTCCTGAACTGTCTCCTGCTGTTTGGATGTCCATTTTCAGTCCAGGTCAGGAACTAGCTTGTGTTCCCTCTCAGCATTCTCAGACTCCTTTGAGCTCGGCCAGTTCGAGCCGCCAGACGTGAAAGACACCAGCATTGACAGAGCGATCCCAGATGCTAACAATCTCACCTTTGACCCTTTTTGCTGTACAAGACTTCACGAGAAAAGACAAGTCCTTCTCAGAGCCAGACCCATTTTTAACGTTTCTATAATTCATTACAATGGCGAGTGGCCAAGAACAATACGACGGGTCTCTCTGCATCCCCAATAGCGGTTTGTCAAGTCTCATTTGCCAAAAGCCTTTCCTCTTTAGCTGCTAATTACCTTTGGCCGCTCAAAGAGCGCCCACTGTTCCCCAAGGGGAGGCTCGCTCACTCCTTTAAAAAGAGACACAGAAAGCTGTAAAGCGGAGGAAATGGCATTTTAAATAAGGCAAGCACTTCATTATGCAGTGCCAGGTTCACCACTGTTCATGACTGACTGTGTGTGTGTGTGTGTGTGTGTGTGTACTCACTGTCCAGGCACGGCTCACACTCCGTCTGCGTCTGTCCACAGGGCTTAACCATGCCCTCGCCAGGCTGGCACTGCCTACAGCACTCCCCGCCGGTCGTGTACTGACCTGACTTGCATACGTCCTGAGCCGAGAACACGGCCGCCTATGGAAACAGACAGAAGAGGAAGGGGAGATTGAAATGTTACCACATAATGCGTAGGTACTAGTTGGGCACTTCAGGGCCTTCTGTGAAATAAAAAAATGCATGTCTATAATTTGTAGTTTATTTTTTATTTATCAGAATCATCCTGCACGTAATTATGTATATCAACTCTGTTGTTTCGGATTGGTTGGAAACAAATGGGTTAGGCTAAATTCTTGAAACGCGCAGAAAGAATTATCCAATCAGGATTTGTTTTCGCTGTGGTATCTAGGTAGATACAGCCAAGCGAGCTCTCCCATTGGTTAGGACTTCAGGGGCTGGACTGAAGGCCTAACATCCCAGATAGCAAGCATGTTTTGGTCTCCTGGCTTGATAAGGTGGGCACTGATTGTTTGCCACTGCTGGTCCACCCTCGGACCACCCAGATTACTGTACTGCATGAAGCCCGAACAGATTTAAATGCACATAGTCATTTGTTTTATGAAAATACACTAAGACAAATACAACAAATACAAACAGCTGAGAGAAAAAAAGACTCTAATATAAAATGATTTTATAGAAAATATTGTGTAGATTAAAAATAGTTACTAAATTAATTTACAAAGTAGAACTAAAGAAAGGAAGGAAGGAAAAATAAGTAAATTGGACTGTGAGTAGAAAATGAGTGATGCTAAGTGGAATTTTGTCTAATACTCTGCTCAAACACCGGTGGGCCGTCTGGAAAACGCTGAGCAAAATGCCAGTGGACCACCAGCTTTGCCATCAGCAGTCCCACAGTGGCCCACTGTCCACTTGCTATCAGGGATGCCAGATCAACCACTAACATAAATGCAACTGAAAGTGAAATTAGCAAATCAGGTTTTGATTTATAATGTGTGGGTCCAAGTTCATGAGAGAAAAAGCTCACTCTCGGCCTTCTGGAAGGTCATTGACCATGAGCTGCAGTCTAACCAGGATTCAGTCAGTAGTTATAAATGTAAAACAGCAGCAGCTCCAGGAATAAAAGAGTCACTGCAAAACCGCTACAAGATAAAATATATGCAAATGTCTGTTACAACCCAGATAGCAAGCATATATCGGACCACTGGCTTGATGAAGTCGGCAGCCCACTGACAGTTTGCCACTGCTGGTCCACCCTCGGACCACCCAGATTATTGTCCTGTATACGAGCTCTAACTAGTAGTTCCTAGTTAGGAAAGATAAGGAAATTGGACTTTGAGTGGAAAATAAGCAATAATAAGTAGAATTTTATCTAATAGTATGCTTAACCACCAGTTGGCCACTCAGAAAACGCTGAGCAAAACACCAGTGGACCAGCGCTTTGCCATCAGTGGGCCAACAGTGGTCCACTACCCTTTTGCTATCAGGGAAGCTTCAATTAAAACATGGAATGTATATTTACAAGTTTCAAATGAGAGAATTTATCTTTAGAAGGACCAAAAAATGTCCATATGAATGGCCATTGGATTAGCATTAGCATCCCATAGGGACACCAGCAGAAATCAGCATTATCGTAGAGGTGTTCTTGTTCACTTCTGGAAAGTTCAGCACTGGAAGGTTCCTCATTAGTATTAGAACATGTTTTCTAGACACAACACAACCAACACAAAACTACCTAATAACAGCTTTAAGGGTAAACAGAGAGAAGTCTACTAACGCTAGCAGTCCATCAAAGCTAGCTAGACCCATGCAGGGTTCGATGCAGCTGCACTGGACTACCACAGTGCAGTTGCTAAACTGGAACAAATGGCTAAACATGTACAAACAAGAGAGACTCCACCTCAAAAAACCCTCCTTATTACCTAAACATCTCACCATGCAGTGCCTTTTTGGAAGACCAGCTTTAACACTGACCATCTGGTAGATTCTTTTAGCCATGGATGTGCTACTTCAGATGCTTGTTCTGGGACAGGGAAGGTCATGGGGTTGACTTCTTGGACCCCAGCTAAGACTAATATTAGACAAACAGGAATTTTCAATGGAAAACTCAAACTTCAGTAGTGTGTGGGATCAGGAACAGTAGAACCTAGACCTTAATGTTCCACTATGAATATGGCAACTTAGACAATCTATCGCTGTTGTCAGAACAAAACCTGGAGAAGTCAGTGGAACCAGAATTTTTTCCAAGTCATTTTGGGCCGTTTCTTTTGGTCCATTCATCATGAAATGTACGCATAATGTAAAGAGTAACGGGTATTTTCAAATTATGTCAAAATCTGAAAAGGACAAAAATGGAGATTGGATGTTTCTTCCGACAACAGCGATATTATGATGTGAAGTGTCCATTTATTCTAAACCTCTACCTAGCACTTACATTCACTGACCACTTTATTACACACAGCCAACCGAGTGGCCCACAAGAAGAAACGTGACTTAAAATACAAACACAGTAATCAGAGTAGCCTATCGAAATTCGCTTAACTATATAATCAATAAAAATATCAAGAAACTTATTGTTTATGTCCATTTATCCATCGTGGATGAATTGCATATAATCAATTTACATTGCACTGAAAATACCGTACACCAGTATAGAGAAGCTACATGGTAAATATTGCCAATAAACTGGATGAGGAGCATTAATATAAACATGGTAATATAATAATATATAATCTGATGTAATGAAATAGAAGATGATCAAAAATTCTGTCCCCACAAAACTCAACATGGTATTGTGTCAAAACTCGGTCAAAACACTTGGCAAAACCCCACAATAATGCTAATTTCTGCTTCAGATTAGCATTTTTTGGTAGCTCTAGATTAAACACAGAAATATGAAGCTTCAAAAACACGTTCAGGCCTCCTGACCAGCTCCTGAAGCTCTAACCAATGGGAGAGCTCGCTCGGCTCTATCTACCTAGATACCACAGGAATACAAATCCTTTTCAAGATATGAACCTGTTCTTCCAACCAAAACATACAGATGAAATAAGAGTATTATTTCAAAACTTGCAACAAGCATGATGATGCATTTGAATAAAAATGAATGAAAAGCATGTACAGGCGTGTAGTTTAGTTTCCAGTAATTACTAGGTCTTCTCTGAAGGCCTGGAAGGCCCTGAAGGCTCCCCACCAGCGAAAACGTTGCAGATCAACTCCAAGTCTGCGTTCACCCCATGCGCCGCAATCCTTAAACCCGTGAAATGGGCTTTTCTAAACCAGACTCTTTCAAACGCAGCCACTATGCATCCAAAAGACGCAAGAAGAGGAATGCGGCGCAGCTAACGCTGTGACCTCCGCAGATTCTTCATGAAGTTAAGCTCCGAAAACGCAAAACAGCTGATCTCTCAGTCAAAGCCTTGCGGTTATTATTTACTTAGGCTTAAGAAGAGACTCAGTGGCCCATAGCTAAAATAAATGCCGCCCCCGGCTTCTCTGCGATTATTCCTTTAAGAAAGATTACTGCTGTGCTTTTGTGATATGCAGTCAAAAACATTTGGAGCTATCAGATGGACTGCAGACAACGGGGCGTCTTTGTGTAATTTCCCAAAAAAAACATTGTAGTATGTGTACTTCTGGCCTACGGAGAGCACTTCATAGACCTACAGCAGCTTGACTTCTGGTGGGCTCTTGTATCAGTAGACTCGAGCGTGGTTGGTGAGAAACTATAATAAGAGATGAAAAGTCATGGGAATCTTCCTTTGGATTTCACATCCCTGTAATGAACTTGTGTGTCTTCCCTTGACAAGTCTTTGGCAGGAGTTACTGTTTTATCGGAACTGATTTGCTTCTGCTGGCCAAAGGCTTAAAACAGTGTACAGTTCTGCAACAAAATGCCTGACAACAAGTGGAAATTCATGATGTGACATGAACAACCTAAATGTTTTCCAAGATGAACACTAATAAACCTGGGTTTAGTGCTGCACAAGTAAGCAAAAGCAAAGAAAAACATATATTGATATACCTATTGGCAAAAAGCAGCCAGTTGTTCTGATGCCAAGTTAGCCAGACGTTTGGAGATGTGTGCCAAATCACTTTGCACCAGCCAGGACAGTCACCGCTCCATTACAAGTAGGTCAGTACGCTCAATGTCCAACAGTGTTGCAACTTCAAGCATGATGATGATATATTAACATTTAACTTACAATGTTGAAATATTGACATTTTCTCAAACTTTTGGCTGGTTCTCACAAAATAATGACTTATTCTCACAAAATAATGACTTTTTTACATTTAATAATTTATTATTTCAACATACTATGTCAAAATTTTGTCTTATCTCAGAATCATGGGAAACTAAATAAAATTTCAACATAATATGTCAAACTTACAGACAAAATCAGTCAATTTTTCAAGACAGTAAGTCATTATTTTGAGACAGTAAGTCGAAAATTTAATGTACTGCAGCCGGAAGCCAGAGCCCCTTACACTCTCAAAATTATGGAAAAATAAGTCATAATTTCAACATAATAAGTCAAAATTTCAGAGAAAATCAGTCTGTTTGTCAAGATAAGTCATTATTTTGAGATTGTAAGTCAAAAATTTGATGTACTGCAGCCAAAACAGAGCCCCTTACCTTGTACTTCTACCTATGGACCACTATCACACATTATTTAATGTACTTCGGTAAGTATGAAGTATGAAGCCCATTTCCACAGGTAGAGGAGAAAAATCATGTATGTTCTTTTCTCTTTCTTTTTTTCTGGCAGCAAAATGTCTATTTTGGTTTATTTTCAATGAATCATATCAGTATCCGCTGATAATTTCTTTAAATAAAAAACTATCTGCATTGAACAGACACTTAGATTTGACTGATATTTCAGACTGACATTCGATGATGTATTTATTACACTGACAGAGCAGAATGTTTAGGTGACACCTGGTTACTGCACTAAAATATCTGCAAACAAATGATATATTTCTCTGTAATACTAATCTAATGCTACATTCTGTACCGGCATTGGCAGATATGTACATGAAAAATATCGGGTATTTGGCATACACCCACAATTCCGCTATGGGTGCATCCCAAAAAAATGACTTATTTTGTCTAAATATTG